TAAAAAAATGAATGCCATTTAAATTGACCACCACTTGTATATTGATTAAATCATTAATACTAAGGAAATAGAATTATTGAAGCTAATGCCATTACAAAATGGAATAAAATAATAAATTTTTAAATACAATTAATTATATATTTTGGTTGATAAAAAACAAACTTAGCTTTTTTGTTGCTATTTAATCCTTTCCTTCTGTGAATACCTGCTCTATTAAATATTCATGGTGATTATTATGATTATTAAATACATTTGATGTTGTCATTGACATAACGAAAAATTGCATCACCCAGGTAGTAATAACACCAAGGCCATGCATAAATAAAACTTTTAATAATGTGTATCTACCCAGGTCTTTGGGATTCACAATAATAGATTATTTTTCCTTGTGAATAAAATAATAAATCTGATGACATTGATTACAGGTGTCAGATTTAGTGTAAATTTCCTATCACAAACATGCAGGGTAGTGCAATTCAGCACTTTTCAGCACATGGATTTTTTTCCATGAGTGAAACCAACCTGAACATGCTGGAAGGCTTTCACATAGTGGACAAAAACTTTCCTTATCTTCCCCCAGACCAGGCTTGGCTGTTTACCATATGGACATTGATTGCTGATGAGAGTTGATTACTTCATGTCATCATCTACTAGCATAAAGTTGGTGCCTGCAATGATGCAAAATTTTGCAACTTAGGAGATTACAATAAGGGTTGCTGTTTTGTTGGTGCACACCTATTCACAAAAAAACCACCATTTAAAAAACAATAAAACCAGTTATTCAAATAAAGATTTAAAAGAAAACAAAAAATTCAGGAATGATTAATTTATACAAAACATACCAAAATCCAACCCATTTAATGACCTTCTTCTTGTTGGCCATATTGCTGACAAGGATGTATATAATCATGTGATAATTTTAATCTATATAACAGAGGACTGATTGGGTAAAAACCCCAACCCAAAATTATAAATTGGTTATATCAAAAAAACAGAGCATTTATGAAAATGATTATACAAAACAAACACTATTTTACAACTTTCCTCTTAACATCAGAGCCCGAATGCAATTTCAGGGCCACAACCCTGCTCTGAATTGTGACCTCCTGTGCTTGGAACAAGTTGCAGATTCTCTTAATATTCCTTCAGAGTTGTGACGATTTGGTCATATAGCCATCCTTAGAGGTGGGATCGTTGCAGGTGACTTTTCGTCCAACATGGCAGCCATCTCTGGTCTGGGAAGATTAGTGAAAATATCCTTGACGATTGATGTAGTCTCAGTAAACTCCAAAGCCACGCAATACCCTTGGAATTCTGTTGCATCATTGTATCATCGATCAATCAGGTCAGATTAGCCTTATGTACATGAGGAATGTGTGAGAATGACTGTAAAGTGTTCAAGGTAGCATGCATGCTTCAACACTTGTAAATTTCCAATAATCAAATGTCACATTTCGAAATGTTTCTTTTTAAACGGTGTATTGCCTTGACATCTTGTAATTATATATTAATAATAGTATTATTATTACGATTACGCAAAGCAAAATATTATCAATGAAAATCTTGTAATTACCCAGCAAAGATCTGTTCCACGTTTTGATTCCAATTAAGACATTTATAAGCTAAAATAAAAGACACATACATATCAATACAAGTAAAAAAAAGTACCTTTGGTTAGTTATTAACACGTATTCTTTTTTGAGACCCAAACCAAACAAACAACACTCACGTTTTGTCACCTTGGACACTGTCAAAAAATAAATTGTTTTTCCAAAAAAAAAATCAATCAATTCGCGTCTGTCCTACCAAAAAAAAAAACCAATAGGATAAATTAATGTGTACGTGTCGATCAAATAAGAAACTTCTTTTTTTACTTGTTAAAAAATGCCAAAACGAGACAAAATAACCAATAGTAAAAGAAGTAAAGAAACTGATGCTGAAAAAATATATGGGTAAGTGTTTTAAGGATGGTGGTGGTGGTTATCGCCACTCTAGTTATATATAGTTTAAAATTTTGGTTTTATATGTGTTTATTTATTTATTTTTTTTAGTTCAACATCAACGACTACACTTGATCAAAATAAAGGTAGTAAAAGTCTATTATATACATGCTAATATATTATTAATTGATTCAATTGATTTATATAATTTTTTTTTACATTGAATAGTTTATAGAAACGATAATAATGTACGAGTACAAATATTATTATCATTATGAATTTGATGTAATGCATTTGCTGTTACAATTATTATTAACTCTGTTGCAAACCTTTTTTTTTGCACAGCATGGTACAAGAAAGAGGGCTCTTGTGGATATTACGAATCAAGATAATTTAAAAAGGAAGAAAAAATCCAAATCAAAAGATGAATTTGATATCGAAATTGATTTGTTAATCGAAACCCTAAATCAAGAACAAATACAAGAGTGGGTAGTTGATACAATTGACATATCAAAAAGATTTAAAAGTTATCAGCAGTCTGTCATCATGAAATTTAAAAACGATAGTTTAAGTCAGAACGACACTTATGAAATATTATCATTGGCATCTATAATTGTGCTCTGTAAACCTTGTCCTTATCAGACTATATTTAGTGATGATGAATGGAATCTTGTAATTGAAAAAAGCCCATTTGTTATCCAAGGGTCAATAATCCCAGATACCGTATCAACTATAGTCCACAATGCAGCGAGAAAACAAACCATAAATCAAGATAGTTATATTATTGCAAACAAAGATCCCTTGTGCAGGTCAGCAGCACAAATTTTCAATGGATTGCGACAAACTCTACCAATGACATCACCAGTAAAAACAACTGAAGATGAACATTGTAACAAATTTTTAAATGTTTATATCAATAATGTTTTTACTGCACAAAAGCGATATGAGGTCAAATTTAATTGTTCTTTATTAGAAAGTATGCAGAGACCTGATTTTTTATGCACTATAGATGATGTGCCATTTTTAATATCAGAAATAAAACCACTTGGGACAAGTCCTCTACTAAAGAAAAATGATTTCAAAAAAGCACATTTAAGAGCCAAGGATGCAGTAAACCAACAACTGAACAAAAAATATGGACCGGGTAAAGTTGTACTATTGATTAATGCAGGTTAGTGTTTTATTATACACGCTGCCCAAAATATTCAGGTTGCATAGTTTTTATTATGACTGCTCACTCATTATTTTCCTAATCTTTAAATGAGAATCACTTATTATTTATCTTTAAATTGGGAATTACAGGAAATTCACTGAAATCATTTATCATGGATCAGTACAATGGAATGTATCGTTCATGGGGTTATATGACCACAAAACTAGCTACAGACATACCTGGTATGCCATTAGTAGAATCCAATTTTGAACACTTCGTTGGAATAGAGGCTTGTGTCTTTTTTTTAAAGATATGTCATATATTATTACTATTTGGAATTTAATTGAATATTTGCATTCAACAGAAGTATGTGGAGATTCATACAAATGATTATATAAAACGTAGTGGCCAATAATTCCTGGTTATATAAAAAGCAATTATGGTTGGGAGTTAAAAGATTTTTTTGGTGTAATTGAAGCATTTCTCATATTTAGATTATTAATTTTATGTGTTTTCACTTACCCTTTTAATTTTTCCATTTTTTCCACTTTTTTAAATTCTTGTTTGAAGGATCTTTATTTATCTTTCTTTCGATAGACCCTCTTTAATTATCTACTTATTACCACTACACACTATTTTTAAATTTTAAATTTAAGTATTCATGTTGTAGATTTGCTACATAACATAATATATGCTACTAAGGCACTGATTGAGATTTAATTATTTTGCTATTTGACACTATATAACGACAATTTAAACTAAACATTTTTGTTAATGTGAATAGATTTGATTACCTCAAAAAAATTCGTTAATTCTTTAAAATTCACAATTACGATTACCTCAAAAAAATTCATTAGTTCTTTAAAACTCACAATTACATATGGTGACAAACACTACCACTTCATATAATTTAACTCCTTCAATGCTAGGTCATTATTAAAAAAAGAAATTTTTTTATTTGTTTAGACAAACAATTGCTTAATAATAATCACTAGCGTGAATTTTACTTATTGAGATATTAAACAAAAAGCAAAAATTATATTTTTTTAATTATTATAAAAATTTTTATTTTAATTTGTCTATTTTTTTTCCCTTTGCAACTTTCACATAATAACTTCTTTCTATTTAGTTTTAATTAATTTGAGCTATTTCTTTTCTCATTCTCTTTTTTCTAACTTAACCAAGGGACTTTCTATTTTATTTGTTAATTTATAAAATTCATAATTTTATAGTTAAGAGAAGCAGTGAAAGAAAGTAAACTTATTTATATTTTATTAGCAATTATAATATTATGATTTGTATTATTATATTTCTCGAAATTTTTGTATCATTTACAAAAATCATTTCGATATTATTATAGCAATAATTAAAAAGAAATATTCAAGCAAGATACATTATTTAAGAGTATTGGGTGGCAGCCATCTCTGGTCTGGGAAGATTAGTGAAAATATCCTTGACGATTGATGTAGTCTCAGTAAACTCCAAAGCCACGCAATACCCTTGGAATTCTGTTGCATCATTGTATCATCGATCAATCAGGTCAGATTAGCCTTTGTACATGAGGAAGGTGTGAACTGACTGTAATGTGCTCAAGGTAGCGTGCGTGCTTCAACATCTCTAAAAATTTCCGATAATCAAAGATTGCATACTTGAAATGTTTCTTTTTCAACAATATTCTGCCTTGACATCTTCTTGTAATTAAATTATAGTAATATTAACGATTACGAAATGAAAAATACACAATCTTGATAAGAATCTCATAATTGCCCAGCAATGATCTACTCTGCGTCTTGATTCCAATTAAATATTTATATAAAATAAAAGACACCACATTATATCAATACAAGTAAAAAAAAAGTTCACCTGGTTAGTTATTAACATATCTTCTTTAGGAGAACCGCGTTTTGTCATTGAAAAATAAAAAAAATTTCGTGACAAAAAAAATTGTGCAACACCAAGTGCCAATAATAAATAATTAATGACACATTTGTCGATCAAATAAAAATTTTTTTTTATAAAAAGAAATCATAAGAATGGTGGTGGTTATCGCCACTTGTCGTCACTCTATTTTTCCTTGAAAATTCACTAGGAGTAATAGGAGAGATATATGTAGAAACATTGAATAAGGTGTTTGAAGAGAATGAAAAAAGGTGCTCAGATTTAGAAGATGAGTTGGGCAATCTTGAGAATTTGTTGTTGATAGAGGATCAAAAGAAGATGAATCAGATGATGAGTCAGAGGCTGGGAGTGAGAGTGGATATGATGGAGATGAAGAAGAAAGGGAGGATAGTGATGATGAAGACAGTGGGAGTAATTATAATGTTGATGATAGTGATAATAATAAATAATAGTATATTGAATGATAAAGTAAATTTTTTTTTGTAAGTAAAAAACAAAAGACATTTAAATGTAATAAGAAAAAAAAAAGAATACTTACTATCTAATCCATCTAAACCCAAATCATTCATTAATTTGATTGCAGAATCAACGAATTTTTCTCTAGAATTATGTGAAGAAGCAACGGCTGAAAAATTAGTGGACCAAGTCCAGCCACCAATTGACAAACTAACTTTAAGATGTCTATTCTTCTTTTTCAACAGGTACAATTGTTTGAAATTTCCATACAAATTCTTTACATTGTCATTCCATGAATCACCATCAAAATGAAT